TGTCCTTCTGCAGAGCTCTTTCCTGTGATGTGTGCCATGAGTCACACAGCTAGGCTGCTCTGGAGACTGCTTTCAGTAGTTATTGTTTAGAATACATACGCTAATGTTTTCCTTCAGCTATCCCCTCCTTTAGCTGCTTACACATATATGAGAAAGGAAGTAGACAAACATTTGAGCAAAATATTTATCTGTTTCTGTTAATGGAATCTTGGATCTTGGAGTTTTTTCTTCTGTTCTTGTTTTTGTTTTTCAACTGCTATAATTACATTGACGTGAAATACTGGTACTCAGATTTTTAGCAGCCTCCAACTTGCCTCATTTTTTTAAAGAAGACATTTCTACTATTTTTGCAAACACTATTTTGTTTGTTGTTTCGATTTATATAGTGCTCTTACTGTACTTTGCAGTTTATAAGATACATACTAATATAATCATTATCCTTATTTTTATGCTTGGAACTGAGCTATGGTCACGGAGTGATACTTGTTATACAAATCTTATTTGGGAGTATAAGCATGCATGCACATCAACAGGTTTATCCTCCAGTATTTTTATAACTACTTTTGTTTTCTTATACTTAGATTTAAAGAATAGATCAGTTAAGGCACTCCTGTTGAGCTGACAAATAAAAAGAGCAGTTGGCAGAGTATTTTAGAGATCAGCCCTTTCAGGAAACTCATTTGTTGTTCTTCTGCAGCCAGTTTGCAGTGAAGCTCAGTCATTTGGTTTCTAATTGCACAGATTGTGGTGATTCAGGATATGCTTGCAAGGCAGCACGGGGGTCAAGTCTCATCATAACGGACAGGGAGGAACGCAGATGAATCACTGCCAACAGAGCAGCGATTCTCTCCTTTAAAAATCTCCCCTTTAAAAGCAGGATTGGACAGAATGCCTTTATAGAACTAAAGAGGAGGAGATTTCAACAGGATGGATGTAAATACTGTAAATCTGGTAGGCTTGATATAGGTAACAAGTAAATCTTCTCATCACTGAGAACACCGATGGGGCTTCCTAGACATATGAAGATGGAAAAGCAGAAGCAATTCTTCATTTGCAACTGTCTGTGTTCCTTTCTTAGTCCTTTCCAACAATTACCTGCTTTGTTCATTTAGATAATTCACTTTTATTTGTGTGTTTCTTTGCTATTTGTTTCTGTGTTGTTATAGTACTGACAGTATCTTTATGTATGGGATATTTAGATATCATGGGTATAGTTAAAAGTCTTTTTCATGTGTTTAAGAAAATTCAGAATAGAAAAAATGCTGTGAGAAGGATTAGCAGTGCCCGAGGAAATGATCTGTAGAAGGCAAGGCTCTTCTTAAGAAATGATATCTAGAAGAGAAGTATACAAGATACTGTGGCTACGAATTTGCTTTCATGAGAAAGGGAGGAATCTCATACAAAAAGAAGTCAGACGAAAAAAAAGTGATGTTTTTAAAATTTAAAGCAGTGCTACTGAAGGAAAATTACTGTGCACCCTGGGCCAGAAGTTTACTGGCTAACCTTCTCTTAACATGTCCACTTCTTGTGCTAATCCCCACATCATATGATCATGGGCATATATTCCCTCTCTAATCCTTTTTCTAAAAATGGCAGAGATGCATTATCCCTCTGCTGAAAGCAACACCAAAGAAACAGATCTACCTAGAAGATAAACCCACATTTAAATGTTGCAGAGAGTTTGCACAGCCCAAATTTAGAATATTTTGGTCTTGAGCTTTCGCTCATGCATGTGTAAAGGTGTGCAAGCTCTCACCTGCATGTGTGCACTTTTTGCACATTGTCAGCTAGTTAACCCTGCAGATGTTCAAATGTGCTGCGAGTGAGTGAGGGGGATGAGGCTGTCTGTGTATGTGGAATTTCTGTCTCCTGGTCATGCAAGTGATTGAATCTGGCATTTGTACATGCAGGTGGTGATGCACCAAATGTAAAAAAAAAAAAGACACAAAAAAATAACCCTAGCAATTCAGGTTGGGTTTCAAAGAGATTTCAAACTCTTTATGTCTTTTTAAGAGGGAGTGCTTAGATAAGGTGCAAGAGGAAAATGATAAAGGAGGATAAAGTGGAACTTTTACTCATAACCTCTTTTACATGCAGATTTTAGGTTTTATTCCCTCCTATGCTCTTTTTTTTTAAATTTTGTCTTCTGTTAATACTTTTGGTGCACTGAAAATGTAAATTAGATTTTACAGATAAACTCTTTTGGACAAAGGCCTTCACTTCTCAGTCTTTCGCTTAGCTCCTGCAAATATAAGCTATACAGCAATATTTTAAGCTGATAGAGCATTAAAATGGCAATCTGATAGTGGGATTTGATGTGGTTATGATGGGCTACGTACAAAGACAAGGTGATGTTTATAGGTAAAGCAAAGTTTATCGTTAAAGGTAGTATCTCTCCAGGGACCAGTCAGAGTAGTTGTAAGAAGTAGGCAGACATTCAAGCACAGGAGCTTCAAGGTATACAAAAGGCTGTGCTTTTTTTGCAACAAATCTAATTGTTCTTGTGGGAAGAGTGTCAGAAGTACTGGAAGAGAGGTTTTTCAAAGAAAAGGGGCTTGAGTGTGTATTGGAAGAAAAGGATGTGTTACTGAAGCAGAAGGTATGACCAGAAGTGAAGTACAAAGCAGTGAATCGAAGGGGGGAGACAACCCCTCAAGTATTTATGACATAGTAATTTATGGAGTATACATTTGAAGAACGTGTTGTATTTGTGGACAGATCAGAAATTTTTACAGCTACACCACTTCATTTATCATCATGTAGAATGCATAGATTGAAACATTTTATAATCTCACCAAATACGGCCCTTCTCACAGTTTTTACCTTAGAACTACTAGTGCTACTACTAAACCCATGATGTTGATCATAGAAATTACTTAAGAAATAGTTAGTTTGCGACCCTTTAGCTCATTTGTTATGGTATAATTTTCTTACAGAAACATGCCACATAAACTATTTGGAGAGAAGACCCACTCTCAGCAGTCACAGTATGGGCCGTACAGTATGGCTTTCACAGCTGTTTTACATCCACACTGATGCCACACTGTTTTGAAACCCGCCAATGCTTTTCTTATCGTTCAGTTCATAGGTCATGATGTTTTTTCTCACTACTTTTGAATATGTGTAGTGAGCATCTGTCGTAGTTTTGCTTCCTGCCAGGTACATGCTGACAGCTTCTGACTTTTGTCTTTTCATGGGAGTGGGATTGGGATAAAGACATTCTCTTTTGGATTCCAAGGTGCAGCTGAGTCTTTGTGATATACTGAAGACCAATTACAGTTAACAGTAGGTTGCTCTTAACGTGTTACTTATTTTTAGATCCTTACATCATTGCCAAACCTGCTGGTGAGCTGTGCAGTTTTTGGCGTCTTAGGAAAGACATGACTGTGCAGAAAGGAATGGGAGAACCAAATTCTTGTGTCTCTTGTGCCTTTTCTTTTTCCCTCCTCAGACATATCTCTGCAGAATGACAGCTGTGTTACGTTCTCAAAAACACTTGAGTAAAGACCAAAGGGAAGGCAAAGTTATATTTGTGCTTCTCTGGGACTTTCCCAGCAGTGATTACTGATTCTCTTATCCCTCTGGCACTTTTGAGCAACGAGAGCCTCCTTGCTGCTGCCAGGCTCTCTATAAACAGTTGTTCAAACACTTTGTTTGAAGGTTACCTTATAAAAAAGGGGCCTCAATGTTAAATGCTTGAATGCCCTCAATTTCTACCTAAGGGCATTTCATAATTTTCTGGATTTGGACTGTCTTTTCACTTCCTACTGTAAATGCCTTGATCAGAAGGAAGAGCTAGAGCTTCTTATACCTCTGTTCCTGTCAGCGGACAAATGTTATCGTTTGCATCAAATGCACGGTTGGTGTTTGAGAGATCTAGAGCTCCAATGAAATAAAAAGGGCACGTGTTGGGCACGTACAATATGCATGTTTCAGTGTTGCCTTTTTTTCTTTTTCATTTTGGAAAAGCATAATTTTATCATAATTACATAATTTCACACCTCTTTTAAAAAAATTTCTTTACTTATTTTATGCATTTTCACCATTTTTATACCAACACAGTTTGCTAGATGTCTAGGTTCAGAAAATAAGAGGACCCAGTGATAAAGGTCTGCCAGTTATTCATTTGGAGATAGACCTGGGTAGTAAGATAAAGGAAGAACTCCCAAACAAAGTACAAAGTCACATGGCTGACATGCCAGAAGATTCAGTGTGGTATTATCATATGTTCTTGATTAGAATTGACTTAACATTGCATTGCGTTCTGCCTCCCTGCATCACAAAACTATCAACACTGTAATAACCAGGAAACTAGAAACTTGTTAGCAGCCAACAGCCCAAGTGTTTCCTTTCAAAAGTGAGAGAAAATAATAGCAGTCTATGCTCGTGTGAGGAAAGTGCTTGCTCAGTCATTTAGACATAAAGAAGACTTGACCTCCCAGGCACGTGCTGCTGTGTCCTGAAGGCGAGGAGGCTTTTTTATTTTTTCCTTAAAGGTAGTTTTGTTGTGTGCTCCCCAGCTAGCTTTGATAAACCTTGTGACACAAATACTGACCCAGGTGCGATCAAAATCTGGACAGAAGCAGCATCATCTGTTGCACAAATCTCTGTGAGGCTAAGTTTCACACCTCACAGAGTTTCTGCATGCCCCCAGATTAGTTGTATGAACCATACTTCTTTTTTCTTTTTAATGTGTGACCAGTAACTAAAATCGAAGGGAGAACTGAAACCCTTGATAAAGCAACAGCACAGATTAGTTATGGTGGCTGGGTATGACATACTGTGTAGGCTCTACTTTAGCATCTGGCATGATCTGGCCAGTGTAAGTATTATTGAAAATGGTAACAAAATATGTCCTACTTTACTGTGATCTCTTGTCCACTTGTATTGCAAGGCAAGAGTTCAATGCTCTCTTTCTACATGACTTTTCCTAGCTGTTTATTTTGCTTAAAAACCTACTAAATTTTAACCTAAGCAGTCACACTGGTTGTTTCTTGCAGGTTCTAAAATCCAAAGAATTATCATCACCAGGACAACGCTACATCGACAGCAAAGTAGTTAAAACACGAGCTGAAGGAGAATGGTTATCTTTTGATGTCACTGAGGCTGTGCATGAATGGCTCCATCACAGAGGTGACAAGTACTCTACTCCTGACCCAACTTCTCCATAAATTCAGCATCATTTCAGGTTCACTCCACATGTGAAAATCAATTCCACTTACTTTCATGTTTTGCAGACAGGAACCTTGGATTTAAGATAAGTTTACATTGTCCATGCTGCACCTTCGTGCCTTCCAATAATTATATCATCCCAAATAAAAGTGAAGAGCTTGAAGCAAGATTTGCAGGTAATAAAAGAAAAGACTTCTTAAAATGTCATTATACTTTTAACTGTGGAGAGAAACAAAGAGCTCTTACTGTCTCTTTAAAACAGAATTCAGCTTGTTGAGGCTGTAAAATAATAGTAATAGTTTGTATTTAGGACTATGGATGTGTGCTTCTTATGGACAGCAAAATAAGATAGCGCAAGTGTATCAAGATCACATAGCTTCCCTTGTGTTTTTAAACCAAGTTTCAGTCCCAAAAAGGGGAGTTATTACTGAATTGGCATTGATTGTAAAATCATTACCATTATATATGCAATATAGTCATATGAGAACCAGCTGAAATTCTGTTTGTGAAATTCTCATTTACTCAAGTATATCATGATATGGCTCATTTATTTTTCAATTTTTTTTTCAAAAATTTGACTATATTCTGTCTCAAGTGTTATATTTTTTTTTACCATTGTTTTGCTGTGTTGGATTGTTTTTTTCCTGTGTGTGTGTGTATATATATATATCTATATATGACTATGGCCACTGTGTATATTTACTATGAAGTTTAAAACTGCAATTATGGCATTTGATCACTGTAATTGTCTATGTTACAAAATGAAAAGGCTATCTTTTTAGATAGCATTATCTGCTTCAGGAGGGTAATTTTCAAAATGTACTTAGCCCAAAGCATATTACTTGCTGTTTGAACTGCTACAAAAGGCTAACGCCTTGAGTTCTTTTGCCCATGCTCTGGCCAAGATAAGAAACTAATAAAGCACTTAGTGTTTCAAGAGAGAAAACAAAAAATATGAGGTCACTGATTTCCACTTCAAGAAGAAATGCTTTGATCAATGTCCTTGCCAAATGCATGCAAAGGAAAGGCCTAGAATAACTGATTTCCTGGGAAATTAACAAAATTACATATTCCAAAGGTCTTTTCTGTTATTTCAGCATTTGAGTTAATGTACTGAAAAGCCATTCTGATGGTTCTGAGGGCGGGATGGCTGACAATTTTATACATAAGATACATAAGAACTGTGAATGTCTTAATGCTGCCACTTTGCCAATAAGCACGTTCAGCTGACAACATCATTGCCCAGTTTCTGAGATAATTTTTTTAAAGAGATGGTTTATTTAATTTGTTAAGAAAAAGCAACACAATGTTTATCACCAAAATGTATTTTTTGAAGGTATTGATGACTACACATATTCCAGTGGTGATGTGAAAGCTTTAAAGTCCAATAGGAAAAAATACAGTGGGAAGACCCCACATCTTCTGCTAATGTTATTACCCTCCTACAGACTTGAGTCGCAACAGCCCAGTCGGCGGAAGAAGCGTGCTCTAGATGCTGCCTATTGCTTTAGGTAACTATGCATCTGTGTTCTATATGCTTATATAATCATACCAACATAAGTCCTTTTGAGGTGTAAAGTAGTTGCTGATAACATAAACTGATGTTTCTTTTTGATAGGTGTTTATATCTGCCAAGCACTCTGCCCTCCTAGGGAAGTTAATGGCAAATGCGGTGCTTATGGCCCTAGAAAGCAGGAAACTGAGCTCCGTCTGGGATGCTTCCCAGGCTTATCAGGCCCATAATTATAGGGAAATTGTCAGGTTCAACTACTCAGATATGCCATTCAGGAGCATCTGGAGAAAAATGCTTACTGATTGATTCTCCAAGCAAACCATTAGCTTTGGCTATATAGACAAGCACTGCCATGCCTAAGCACCTGATTTCAGATACACTGTAAGCTATTATTAGTGTTGTGGATTATTTGGTTGTGAATTGCTGAGAATCAGAATTTCCTGCATGTAAAGCATCTTTCAGGGAGCAAGCAAACGGATTGTTTTCTGCCCCTCTGCGCAGGCTTCTCTGACTGATGCATTTGTCTGTATTTTATTTCCAGGAATGTGCAGGATAATTGTTGCCTGCGTCCACTTTACATTGACTTCAAGAGGGATCTTGGCTGGAAATGGATTCATGAACCTAAAGGGTATCATGCTAATTTCTGTGCAGGAGCCTGCCCATATTTATGGAGCTCAGATACACAGCACAGCAGAGTAAGTTACGACTTTGGTAATTTTAAGCTCTGAATTGCAGGGTGAAATACATTTCTAGGACTGTCATCAGTACTAATGCCAAAAGTTTCCATTTATTATCTTAATAACACGATGATGAAATACGGCCCTACAGAGGGACCTGCACATGACTTCAAGCTATAATTGAAGCAGAGGGCATGTATTGTCACAGAGATTTATTTTTAATGTGTTTGCCAATATGGCACATGGATGTATCAAATAGTGTTTCTGAATATTAACAGGGTGTAGTTTTGGAAGGCTCACTAAAGAGAATAACTGAAAGATGGCACAGATGACAGTGAAATCTTTCTAGAGGCACCAAGGGAGACACTCTCGGAGTAACAGTGTGGCTGAATCTGACCACATGATTATCACCTCCTGTATGATCTGCTGTTCTTCATTTGTTGAACAACAGATCTGTTGTTATTGATCTGCTGCCAGACCAAGAAATGATCTGAATCTACTGCCATTTTGTGAAAATATGCCAATGCATGTATTTATTCTTTTACTCTGAAAGTTTGTAAGTAAACCAGAGACTCTTTCTCTGTGGTGGTGATGAACTCATGAAAATCTGGAATGATGTCTTTAATTTTAGGGATTTTAGCCACCTACCTTTGCATGAGTGGAATAGTGTTTTTATGTGCTTATTTCTCTCTACTGACAGTAAGGCTGTCTAGACAGTAAATGTTAAGAGGCATGCATTGGCATGACAGATATCACAAAATGAGACTTTCACCATCAGATTCACACTAATAGTAATGTCTCCTGCTCTTCAAGCCACCTTTAAAATATCAGATCAGCATAGCCAGCAGTGAGAACTCTTCATGTCAAAGGGGCACTTTTCTCTCCCTTTGGTATGTGAAACTATTGTAGTCTAGGTCTGTGTTTGCCTTGAGCTTAAACAGCTAAGTGCAAATTGCCCTCATAGCTGTCAGTGGCTGGGTCGTCGTGGTATTAGCAATGTCAGCAGGCCCAGGTATAGCTATGGCAAGTATGTTCCCTTGCTGATGGTCTCTAATGGTGTGCATAGTTTGGAGCAGCACTTGTTTTTAAGGAAAGAGGAAGAATAACTGTCATGGTCACAAATATGTGGCTTGGATAGTTACCCAAGGAGTCAAAAGTTGCTTAATAAAGTAAGTAGTGTTGCTGTCCTGAACAGATCTTCTGTTTCCCCAAGATGTAAATGTTGTGCTGAAGCTCTAGGAAAAGATCACATGGTGTTTAGCTAACACATTAACGGCATCCTCGGAAATACCGATGTATCATCAGCGGGTAGCCGACACACTTCCCGTGCAGGGAGCCGTGCGTATGAGTCTGATGTGACGGAGGCTCCGGAGCTGGTGACGCTACTGCAGTGACTCCCAATAGGAGTGACCGCTGCTGCAGTCGTAGGTCTTGCACGGTGGCATTAATGGACCTGCTAAAAAGTAGCGTGAGAGGAGCAGCAGAGAGCTTGTACACTGATGGGCTCTCTTCTCTAGTGCACCTGTAAATCCTGGGACTGCAAACGGTAACCTGAGGTCAGAAATGCAACCCTTCCAGTGTTGTCTGACATGGGAATATCAGTACAATGCGTGTGGTAATTTAAAGGTGGCACTCCAGGCATGTACCTGCTCTGGGATTGGTCAAGTTAAAAGCTTAGGAAATTCACAGGGGTGACCACAGATTGAACTGGAGAAATGCATTAAAATTTTAATGTCCGGGAATCTTCCTGTTGATCTGAGTGGACTCCCTGCCAGGCACCATCAGAGGAAATGAAGCAGAAAGGAATTTGATTTGCAGAGTGTCAGGAAGGCAGGGATAACTGGCTTAATCACCCCTTTCTCCTCTCTCCTTTTAGGTACTCAGCTTGTATAACACCATAAATCCCGAAGCTTCTGCCTCTCCATGCTGCGTGTCCCAGGATTTAGAGCCCCTCACCATCCTGTACTACATTGGCAAAACGCCCAAAATCGAACAGCTGTCCAACATGATCGTCAAGTCCTGCAAATGCAGCTAAAGAATACCCTGAAACAGCGTGATGTGTATTAAAAAAAAAAAAAAAAAAACAAGGAAAAAAGAAAGAGAGAGAGAAAGAAAGAAAAATGAAAACCCAGGTTCATCAGTGTTAAAAGAAAAAAAAAAGAAGAAAAAAAGCGGTACTAGTCTGAACTGTTTGAAAGTTTGTTTTGTTTTTTTTTTTAAAACTGGCATCTGAAGCAAAACATTGAAGGCCTTTTTCCTACATTTCACCTACACATAGTGTGAGATAGACAAGAAGCAAAGTTAAAGGGAAAAAAAAAAACCTTTTAAAAAATAAACACTGGAAGAAATTTGTTAGTGTTACTATGTGAAAGGAAAAAAACAGGAAAATCCCATGAAGTGGAGTTGCTGTATCTGTCCCGTGCCTTACTTGATCTCTCTGTATTGTACGCAATAGGCATCCTACCCATTCCTCTTAGTTTTAGAGTTAACAGTGCATTATTTATTTGTATGTAAAAACTATCAAACGAACATTTCCATATCACCATTTGGAAAAAAAGAAAACCAGCAAATGTGGACAAAGTGGAGACCAAATAAGCTGTCAGAAATGCATATAAAGCCTAAAGGAACTCAAGTTCAAAAGATTCTGAAAAGTAATGGCTAGTTTAGTTCAATTTAAATAGAATTCAGTTATTACATTCTTGAGAAACTCTGCCTTTAAAATACCTTTTTTTTCATGCCAACTGCCTAGGGAGGCTTCTTGTAAGGTCTCAAACCCTTGTTTTAAATACTGAATAACTTACTAATAAAGGACACTCTGTTTCAGTCTCAAAGACAAGTCTATAAGATTTTTTTTTTACTGTAAATGATTTAAAATGTCAGTTTAGTAAACCAGTGAAATATTTAACATGTACTGGTCTAATCTTCAGACCTTAATATGTTGCTGTATAGCTATGCTATGGGATTTTTTGTTCTTTTGGTATATGTAACCATACCTAGAGTATTACAATAGGTGGGTAGTAAAAGCCAGCTTAATTGGAAACATACCTGTAGATCTCTATTTGTAAACTATTAAAAAAATAAGTACTTTATGTGTAATGTGTAAATTTTCACCATATTTTTGTACTCTGTAATACTGTCAGCTCTCATGAGTTTGAATTTGAATTTGGGGCTCTTTTTGATCACTCAGAATCATGTGTTTCCCTCTAGCTGGCCAGTATGAGTAGAGTCCCTATATTTTGACTTGCACTACAAATACATGTTTTATAATAATTGCTATACATGTGCTTTGTATATTGTTCATCATTATGACATAAGCTACCTGACTCCATTTGTTTTTTGTTTTATAAAAAGGATGGATTAGAAAGACCTTTCCTTCCCTCCTTCCCTCACCCCTAATTCATCCCCATGTGTAATGTTTGAATCGCTGTGTGATTCAGACTTCTACGCCTTTTTAATTTTTAATTTTATTTTTTTCTTTGGCTATAGACATTTAAACAGATGGTCAGGGAGCAAGATTTTTCAAGAAAAGATGTGCCAGCCTTGCCGAGGCCAGGCAAACCCTTACAGAGAATGACATTCACCACTGTGCAGAAGGCTAGGATGAAGCAGAGGCTTCAGCAGTGCCCTCGGAGCAGGACTCGGTGGGGACCGTGTCCCTGTGCTGGCCTGTCATGCAGCAGGGACCTTCCTGCTCCTCTTGCAGTTAGGAGGTTGGTCTTCAGCTTCCTGAAGGGCACTGCAGGCCACTGCGGGCTATGGTGCATATAAGGAATTGCAGGATTGGCCCCTTGATTTTGTGAGCTTGGTCAAAGTTTTCTTTTTTGATTGAATTTGCGTAAAAAGCTTTTTTTTTTTTTTCTTTTTTTAAGGAAAATCAAACATGTTCCTAGGATCTTCTTCTTATTTGCATACTTGTGCAAAAAAACTGCATTATTCATTTAATGTAAAAAAATCCCCAAACTAGATGAGCAAAAAAATCTTGAAGATGAGACACTCAGTTCCTTTCACATGATCAATGGTTTTGCATGGCAAAGCTCGAAACTGTGCTAGAAACAAACTTTGTGGATGAGAAGGACATTTTCTGTTATTGATCTCAATGCTAACAGGAAGATGCTCCTGAGCTTTCAGTTTTAAGAAGTGCAATTTCTTTAACTTCAGCAGAACACTGATGTAATACTGAAGTATCACAGTGGCTTGCACACGTTGCTCCTCTGGACTTCAGTAGAGCCTATGCTTGTTGCCTACATGGAAATGTAGCCCCACAGATGATTTAATCCCACGCATTGACTCAGCGCAGAGGAGGAGGTATGTTAGACTTTGGATTTATATTTAGTGAGTTAAGACTAACAAGTGAAATATCTGTCCTGCTAACACTTGCGTGAGCCAGATTTACTCCAGCAAGAAGATGCACTGAACTCAGTGAAACTCCTCAGGGTAGTAAATACTCTGGATTTTGCTGCACAAAACAGCAAAAGTAGTTTTATCAGGTTCAGTATGAGAACTGTATTTTTGTTGGGCAGGAAAGGGAGCGAAAATGAACACTTCTTGAAAAGCTTAAAGACATTTTTGCCAATCTCTACCACGCGAATGCAGCTCAAAGCCAGTTTTGAAGCTTGCTGGATACGAGACACTGTGGTTGTCCAACTGTACTCACCATGCGCTGGACGCAGCTGAAAATTTCAGCTTAGGTTTGGAGTTTTTGCTCTCTGAATCTAAGTATAAAACCTTATTTCTTTAAGTCATTACCCCAGAATCTCATATATTTTTGTTTTTACTTTTTTTTCCTCAGAAATGCACTGATAATATTTGAAATGCTCTTATTATAAAGCTCCTACAACCTGGGGGAAAGGGGATTATTAGACATATATTTCCCTTTAGTTATCAAGGATGCTAGGCCTGATCCTACAATGTGCAAAACTCCTGGACAAAATTCCCCTCTACAGGGGGATATATTGTGAGGCCTAAGCAGTTCTCGGATCTGATGTTAATACTCCCCTGAGTGACATTTAGATGGGACTTCAACAGCTCAAAGACCTTGTACCAGAGGCTTTCTTAGGAAGAGATGATTACCACGTCTCTCAGCAAAGTCACTGAGACCTGGTGATACCCAACACTTGGCAGGAAATGTGCAGCCCCTTGAAAAATTGGACCCCATAGGGTTGGATAGTGCTGAGGGGGCATCTTTGCACTTAGCTGAGTGGGTTAGGACAGCATTTTTTGTGTGTGTTTAACAACAATACAATTGTATGGTTGGCATGGTTTAAAGGAAAAAAAAAAGAAACGTAAGGACAGCTGTGTTGTACTTTGGTGATCGATTACTCTGTATTTTAACACATTGTATGTCTGTTTTTGTGGTGCTCTAGTGGTAAATAAATTATTTCAATTATATGCTGGTGTTGCTTCCCTATGGCAGTATTTTTCTGAAGTAGCAAATTCCTTAGCTCTGTCTCAGCCAAATCAGTGCAAAGCAATTTTTTGTGTATGCGACCTTGACATGGTACGGCATAGACTGAAGTTAAGAAAACCATCTAGGGTAAGAATGGATCACTTCTGCCCTAAGGATTGCTGTCCCTTGAGCAACTGCAAAATATTTGTTGGCTTACAGAAAAGAAATGTCTCTGACTGTCGGGAACAGCAGTGTCCCCTGCAAACCCGGGACAGAGACTGCCCTGGATGGGAGAGGCTTTACCCAACATGTCCCTCATCCAAATCATGCACTGCTCATCCAGATCCTCTTTGCCTGCAGTTAGGTGGCTGCAGATGGTGGCTTTTATCTTCGGTAATGGCTTGAAGCTCAGATCCAATGGGTCTCAAAACAGCTTGTTCCTTGTTTCTGCAGTGCAGTGGGAGGCGAAGGTGATCTGAGTCTGCTTCTAGGATCCCACACCATGACATCCTTCAGCAGAGCTCAGCAGAACTGTTGATTTTGCACCCTGCACTGGCTTGTGTGCAGGGTGAGGTTGTGTTTTGGATGGGAAGCAAAAGCTGGAATGCAGGAAATGGTGACTTTTGCAGCCAGGGTGGCCAAGTGCTGGAACTGGTTGTCCAGTGCTTGTGGCATCTCCTTCCTTGAAGATACTTAAAAGCGAGTATTAAGGGAGCATCACCCCTTCCCACCTCGACCATCCTGGGACTCCACAAGCATTGTGGCCCTACCCAGGCGTTATTTCTGTCCCCGGCAGTGTGTGTGTGAGAAAAGCTGGTTCGCTGCTGCCACGGTTATTTCGGTTTGCTAACAGCAGACCTGTAACTGCATGGAAGTGGTTTCCTTCGACAGGAAATATTCGGCCGTTTATTGCAAGCCTCTCCTAGTGTGCTCTGCAATACACAGTCACATTATCTAAGCAAACAAGAATCAAGGAGCTTTGCTTTACTAGACCTTCTGCAGCTCCAGCCATGTGAAGAATAAATAAAACTCACAGGAGGAAGGGCTGCAGGATATAACTTTTATCGACTCTTAGAAGTTGATAAAATCATCCATGAAAATGCTTCCACATTGAGGCTGCTCACAAGAAGGGCTGAACATCTGCTGCTCCTGGTGGCTTCTCGGAGATCTAAGGGGTGCATAGCATTTCTTGGCACAGGACAAAGGATATGTTTATGCCAAATTGTTTAGTGTTATTGTGATAAATTATAACAAATGGCCCCCGTGGTCTGTGAATATGTGTTTAAGAATGCAACTTGGGATGAGCATAAAAACAATCCTCGGGGTCATTTAACCACAGTTATACGCCAGTCTTATAGTGGTCTGTCTTAATTGATTTCAGTGAGTTTATACTAACATAAAATGTGGTCCTGCAAACATTGTCAGATACTAATTTTCATTCTATTTTTAGTTATATAACTATAATTACATGCTTTTGACATGAATGTAATCTGCCAGCCCCTTCCTTGTGAAAGGTGGCCCTCACAGGCTTTTCGCAGATGAGAATGCTTTGCAGTTCTAGCTGCTTTATTTCTGAAATCAATGAATTTTGAGAGATTTTGAGGAGCAATGTTGATGGGAAATTTTAGCTAGAATCCTGATTGCGTAGATAACTAAGGAGGCACCAAGTGGAGGGAACACACTGTACTCAGAGAGGTTTTACAGTGTGGGGCTGAAAATGTGGGAGCTGTCCTACAATAATGAGATGTAATCAAAGAGCTACACCCAAATGAAAGTAAACTATTTATGCAGAATATTTTGCTTCAGGGTCTGTCTTTTCCCTTCACTAACACAGCCTTTCCAGGCTGTATCTGTGAAGCCCTTGCTGATCTGCTTGAATCAAACTGTGGTTAACAAATGCGGAATATTCAATATAGGAAAAAAAAAACATGTAAATGTCTTGAAAACCAATTTTTACGCCAAAATCTGCCTCTTAGATCAGATGGAACAGATTCTATGAGGAGCCATGAGTTCTGGAAGAAAATAAACTGAGCGGTTATGTAATTATATGTGGTTATAAAGTAGATGTGAAGTAATGTAGTTGGCTTGTCAGTGGGTATGGGTGTAACAGTAATTTCTTCATCTGTATAAAAATAAAATTAAATGGAACAGAAAGCTGATGAGAACTTCCAATCAAATTTGATATGCTCATTTAATGAAGTAACCTGTTGGAATCCAATACAGTATCCCTTGGGTATAAACCTTTCTTAAAACATGTGATGGTCCAAGAAACAAATGTTGCCTTTGAA